TGCACATTGTCAGCTCAATGTCCAATTTTTCATCTATCAATACCCCTGAGTCCTTTTCCATAGGGCTGCTCTCGGTCCATTAATTCCCCAGTTTTTATTTTTCATGGAGATTGCCCCAATGCAGGTGCAGAACCTTGCTCTTGGTCATGTTGAACTTCATGAGTTTCACATGGACACACTCCTCAAGGTCCCTCTGAATGGTGTCCTTTCCCTCAAGCGCACCAGCTGCACCACTCAGCTTAGTGTCTTCTGCATCTCAGGATGCACTCAATCCCACTGTCTGTGTCATTGTTGGGGATCTCAACTAGTGTCAGTCCCAGTATGAATCCTTGAGAAGCACTGCTCAGTACTGCTTTCCATTGATCCTAGTAGGGCCTATCATGTACTCACTATGTTTATGGCAGCAAAAGACACTAAATGTGTCAGGAGCATAGCACTAATGCTGTAAAAGTAGGTGTTCCATCAAGAGAGAAGAGATCTATAAAGATTTCTTTCTTTTACCAAATAACTGCACTTAGCCAGTGACTTGTTCAGTTAAGGTTATTCAGCAAGTGGGTGTGTTAACAATTAAATATATCAAAGTACTTCCTGCTCCTTACTTCTCTCTGTATTTGTATGTGTTGCATGTGAGTTTAGCCAAGATATCTGTTACATGTGCCTCTGTCCTCTGCAGTCACCTAGTTCTCCTAATGCAGCAGCTCTCACTCTGATGCTTCAACATTCAGCACTTGTCCCCAGGTAACAGTGAATTTCCAACATGTTCCTGTCACTTGTACCTTCTTAGAGATGGTGCTGTTGATGGTTGCAAGGCTGTGACACCACCTTACATGTCATGGGCAGTTCCATGAGCAGATGTACTGTGTACAGGATTTCCAGGTGCAGTTCATCAGCCTCTCATCTGCTTGTTGGTCTCTAATTCCGTTAGTATCTCCTGCCATCGATTTCTAAATGACCACAGGTGGAGAGGCAGCATAAAATAACAAGTAAACACCTGCCTTGCATTTTTCTTGTGTCCTTTAATACTACAACCACAAGCCATCCAACTTTAGCTGTAACAATGCTAAAGCTTTACCATAAATATACATGGGTCTACACAGCCCTACATCTTGGTATATGGTAGATTTCCTCTGCAGTCACCCATGAATAGCATACATTTTAAAATGTTTATTTTGCTGATACTTGGAGCTTTAGACTCTTTCTGCTGATATACACAATTTCTAAGTGTATTACTCTGTTGTTGCAATGGAACTACTGTAGATATGAAAAGAGTAATACAAAACTAAGATAACCTGAGCTGAAACCAGGGCAAAGTTCACTGTATTGCTAAACTTACATGTCCTAGCATCATAGAATCACAGAATGGTTTGGGCTGGAAGCCACCTTTAAAGATCATCCAGTCCAGCCCCCTTGCAACAGATGAAGTTGCACAAAGTCACACCCAACCGGACCCTGAGCACTTCCAGTAATGGAACATCCACAGCTTCTCTGGGAAACTTGTTTCAGTGACTCACCACCCTCATTGTAAAAAAATGTCTTCCATACCCTTTTTCAGTTGAAATGACTCTGGCAAAAAGTCCTACTCTGTCTTTCTTATAAGCCCCTTTTATATATTGAAAGGCTTCAACACGTTCTCCCTGGAGCCTTCTCTTCTCCAGGCTGAACAAGCCCAGCTGTCTTAACCTGTCCTCATAGCAGAGGTGATCCAGCCTTCTGTCCAGTTTTATGGCCCTCCTCTGGACCTGCTCCATCGGGTCCATCTCTTTCCTCTGCTGAGAACTCCAGAGCCGGACAGAGCACTCCAGGTGGGATCTCATAAGAGTGGAGTAGAGGGGGAGAGTCACCTCTCTTGACCTGCTGGCCACACTCCTCTTGATGCAGCCTGGAATGCTGTTGGCTTTCTGGGCTGTTAGTGCACATTGTCAGCTCAATGTCCAATTTTTCATCTATCAATACCCCTGAGTCCTTTTCCATAGGGCTGCTCTCGGTCCATTAATTCCCCAGTTTTTATTTTTCATGGAGATTGCCCCAATGCAGGTGCAGAACCTTGCTCTTGGTCATGTTGAACTTCATGAGTTTCACATGGACACACTCCTCAAGGTCCCTCTGAATGGTGTCCTTTCCCTCAAGCGCACCAGCTGCACCACTCAGCTTAGTGTCTTCTGCATCTCAGGATGCACTCAATCCCACTGTCTGTGTCATTGTTGGGGATCTCAACTAGTGTCAGTCCCAGTATGAATCCTTGAGAAGCACTGCTCAGTACTGCTTTCCATTGATCCTAGTAGGGCCTATCATGTACTCACTATGTTTATGGCAGCAAAAGACACTAAATGTGTCAGGAGCATAGCACTAATGCTGTAAAAGTAGGTGTTCCATCAAGAGAGAAGAGATCTATAAAGATTTCTTTCTTTTACCAAATAACTGCACTTAACCAGTGACTTGTTCAGTTAAGGTTATTCAGCAAGTGGGTGTGTTAACAATTAAATATATCAAAGTACTTCCTGCTCCTTACTTCTCTCTGTATTTGTATGTGTTGCATGTGAGTTTAGCCAAGATATCTGTTACATGTGCCTCTGTCCTCTGCAGTCACCTAGTTCTCCTAATGCAGCAGCTCTCACTCTGATGCTTCAACATTCAGCACTTGTCCCCAGGTAACAGTGAATTTCCAACATGTTCCTGTCACTTGTACCTTCTTAGAGATGGTGCTGTTGATGGTTGCAAGGCTGTGACACCACCTTACATGTCATGGGCAGTTCCATGAGCAGATGTACTGTGTACAGGATTTCCAGGTGCAGTTCATCAGCCTCTCATCTGCTTGTTGGTCTCTAATTCCGTTAGTATCTCCTGCCATCGATTTCTAAATGACCACAGGTGGAGAGGCAGCATAAAATAACAAGTAAACACCTGCCTTGTTGTTAGTAGTCATCTCTTCAACATGCAGGAGGTATATTTGTTTGTTGTGTTGTCCTGTGGGCAGGAGCCTGCCTGGTAGGTTGTGGCTTCACTGATGTGAAAAGGGAGTTTGTTCCCAGCCTTTTCAAGGACATTTCACTTAGTTTTACTGCTTCATTGATTCCTACATCTCATTTAGGAGATCTGGTAGTGCACATGAACAACAGCTCATTCCATCTTGTGCTGCTGATAAGGGCACTTCGTGCTGCATCGTCCTTGAGCCCAAGTATCACTGTGGTGGGAAGGGATAAGTAGCAGCTTGAGATGGCCCAGCTGCTTTACTCCCTGCAGGTCGTATCACCATGGGAGGCTGTCTCAGAGCAGAAGACACGAGGCAGGTTTTGCTGTTTGAGTGCATCGGCCTGCGGGGGCATAGAACTGCCAGGTGTTCAGGGGATTCAAGGTGAGTGTGCTGAGCTCTAGGGCTGATGTTGTTTCATTAGATGAACTGCACCCAGGAATACGTGGGAATGAGTAAACAGCAGTAGGCCTTTGGAACTGTATGCAAGACAAAAACAAGTTTTCTCCAAGAAGGGGAATTCCTGATAGAGTAACCTGCTGCAGCTGTGCTCATTTCACTGAGTCACAATCATTTTCCTAGTGATGGCTACGGATCCCTGCAGGAAGGTCTCTCACTACTGCTTTTATCAGCTTCATGCTTTGCATTTTGTGATGTGTGATTAACAAGGATGGAGAATCACATTTAATCTTTGCCGTAGTGTGGCTATGATTAAACTGAAGTCAAACAAGGCACAGCCACGAAACCAAAACAGCAAAAGGGGAGGAATATTCTGATAAAGAAAAACAAGAAGAAATTAGAGGAAGAAGCAGCAACTGAATTGCAGGTGGGGTAGCTGTGTTGCTCGGTAAAAAGAAGATGTGGTTTCAGATGCATATATAAAAAAAAAAGAAGTTGATGCAGCCCAACTTCCTGCAATGGGTTTTCAGGGTTGGATACACGGATTAAAACCTGCTCCAATGTCAAGCAGAGGAATGGATGGATGGATGGAATGGAGCAGGACAGAAAGCAACACTGGAAACTGGCAAGTTTCCCGGCAAGTTTGCTAGTTGGAGATTTCTGCATTTCAAAAACAGCTTGAGTTTCCCAAAATGAATGTTAACTTATTCAGAGGGGAAAAAAAGAAAAAAAATAAAATTAAAAGGTACAGCAGAATATCTCATCTTCTTGTTTCCTTCTGCTGATGGTGGGCTGCCTGGGAGCAGGAGCTACAAGTACAGTTCATGAGTTAGGGTAGGTCATTTCATACAGCTGATCAAATGGAGCTGCAGCACAGCCCTTAAGGTGAAACAAAGGGGGCTGCTGTTGATTATATGCCTGGAGTTGTATCATTGTTAGGATCAATGCCTTGAGATACAAACAATCTTGTGATAATAAAGTGAGGTCTCCAGGTTTGGCCAGGATCACAGCGCTACTTGGTATGCTCACCAAGACTGTTAAGTCTGGTTGAGTCAAGCCTGAGCCCAATGGCACAGACAAGTGAGAACGGAAGGGGAGAAAACCTTTTGGGAGAAATCCATGGAAAATGCTCACATGTGACTGCACAAACCGCTCCCTGGATCCAGAGACACTGCATCAGGAACGGGCAGCCCTTGTCTGTATGAAACCCCAAACCACACACAGAATAGATCCTTTGTTGGTTTCAGTAGCTTCTTTAATGGCAACTACACAAAATAGGATACAGAGCTGGCAGAGGCCGTGGTGAAGAAGAGCATTGTAAAGCAAACTACAAAGCAGGTGATGCTGGTTATATGCTCCCATTCTGCTGATGCACCAAGCAACAGAAGCCACACACAAGGCTTCTCCACTGCATAGCACAGGACATGGCCATGCCAACTGCAGCTGCAAGATGTTACCCATCCCTTGCATTTCTCTCATCTTTGAGCCTCATGGCCACATACGACAGTTCTTGTGCTTGTGGGGATTATGGGCTGGGAGGCACAGGGGAAAAAAGCATGAGCACAGACAGAGACCCAGGTTTCACATCTCTTGGTGGGGCTGCATCTTCCTTCAGCATTGCAGCATTTGCAGCCTAACAGCTTTTGCCAGGGAGAAGGGGACGCAGAAATGAGAGCTTGTCGTTGAAACTGATGGCCTTGTAATTTGGAAGGTGTTCATGTTCCCGTGCAATGTAACGAAAACCACCCCCATCACTGTGTTCACACAACAGCCAGACACCTCTCTGGACCTTGTGAGAAGATATGGAGTCATTGTCCCACCCCCTAGCCAAATCAGTTGCTTCTCTTATCACCCTGGACTTCCCTTGATATTGGGCATCTTCATAGAGAGTGATCTGGGGATTGTTCAGATCTTCAGTGATCACCTGCAGAGAACTGATCTCATCATTTATCTCTTTACCAACAAAGTCATGTTCCCCCTCTTCAAAAACCACTAACTTGCCTTTAAAGTTCTCATGCTGATAAGCCACCCAAGGCTGGCCAAAGACTTTCACTGAGGAGATACAATCATTCCAATCTACAGCTTTTAGATCGGTAATGTCAGTGGTGAATTCTTTGGAGTAGCCCTGGAAGTTGGCATGCTCATAAACAATGATCTTTCCCATTTCTCTGTATGTATTTCCTGCTGGGCCAGAGCCTGTAGAAAAGGAAAACAGAAAATAAGCAATACT